GAGGCTGGATGATGTTCAAGAGGAAGCTTGGCTGAACGTTCTGGAGCCGGTAGACCTAGTGGGAAGTGGTTTAGTTCTTTAACTCTGGAGCTGGCTTCTTATACTAATTCTATCCCCCCTTCTATATTTTGGGGGTTTTTTGTTTCGTTGTGACAAAGCCATGGCTGCGAAAGGCACCTCTGGAGCTTCCAAAGATCCCCGCACGAATCAACTCCAAACCCCGGTAAGTTAACCTTACTGGGTTAAAAGAAAGTTGATTCTCTTCTGATGTGTCCCCCACATCGCTATACTTCATAGTTTGAGACCTGTGCAAAAAACTGCACTTACCAGCTTTAGCTGTGCTTAGCAGATGCCCCTGGTTTGGGAGATTTAAAAGAAGAAAGGAAAATAGGATGGGTTGGGGGTAATTAGGCAGATGGAGTGGTGGTTTGTTGAAGAACAGTAAAGCTGGAGTTGATCGTTGTTGTTTTCAATGGGAGAATAATGAAACCAGGATCCAAAATATGGCCGGTTTCATTGAGGCATATAAGTAACTGGGCCTTCACGAACTAAGAAGACGATTTGAACATGGTTTCACTCAAGTGTTCTTCCTCGGAAGAGTCTGTGCCACCCAAGTATTCTTGGCACCCCAGCTTGCTTTAATGAACCCCAAAAGACTCTCTCATTCTCTAGATTCAGGCATCACATTAAATTGCAGTTTGTTTAACCGTATGATTAGATCAAACATAATTGCTGGGGCGTGCACAACATGTTTAAGACATAAACCATGGTTTGCAAACCAGAGGGGTTAACCCTTCCTTCCCTGGTCAGATTTGAAGGAAATTTAATGGCAGGAACCAGTGTCTCAAATTGCAATCTCCACTCTTGGTGGGCTGACAGGATGGGTAAAATTAAATTGATTTTGGCAGCCATCTTAATCTCCGCGTACCTCGCAGTCTACTTTCCTGAATATATATATATATCTCGCAGAACGTAGATCTGACCAGCCTAGCGATGTGCGATGAAGGGGCTTCTATTCTGTGATTCCCTTCATCGTAGCTTGTGGATTGTGTAAGCATTTTGCAAGGAGGAGAAAACCGGCGTACAGGTTGACGTACGACCGCAACGGGAGCTCAAAATGTCCCTTGCTAAGCGAGACAGCTGTTAAGCTAATTTTGCCTCATCTTACGACCGTTCTTGCCACAGTGGTTAGTGAATCCCTTGCAGTTGTTAAATTAGCAACGCGGTCGTTAAGTCAACCTGGCTTCCCCGATTGACTTTGCTTGTCAGAAAGTCACAAAAGGGGATCACACGACCGTCGTAAATATGAGCCAGTGGCCAAATATCTGCATGTTGATCACGTGACCCTGGGGAGGCTGCAAGGGTCGAAAGGGGAAAACGGTTATACATCACTTTTTTTCAGTCCCGTTGTAACTTCAAATGGTCGCTAAACAAACTGTCGTAAGTCGAGGACTACCTATATTCCTCTAATCATCTCCACCATCATCCCTGCATGTGTGCTTAGCCCTGGTGAGCTCTGCTCAAAATGATGCTCCTTTGGTAAAAAGGACAGGGAGATGAGGAGAGACGATGCCTGTGGCCATCAGCATCCATCTCCGGGATGGAGGAGGAGGAGGAAGGGCGATGAAGTGGCTCCTTGAGGAGGGGGTGTCATTGTGGTTAACCCTTTGAAAGGGCAGCTTCACTCTGCCCTGATCAACGGCAAAGGGGCTCGTGGCTTTGTCTTCAGGGTATGCCCTTCTTTAAATACTACTTGGCCTTCGGAGTCCTTAGTGCTCTCCGAGCTTGGGGGTTTTCTTGCAGACGTTTCGTTACCCAAGTAGCTAACATCATCAGTGCTAGAAGGGAATGATGTTTGCAGAGAGGAGGAGGAGGAGGAGGAGGACGACGACGAGGAGGAGGAGGACGAGGAGGAGGAAGAGAATGGTTGGGTCCTTGGTGCTCTCTGAGCTTGTTGGTTTTTTTGCAGACATTTCGTTACCCAGCTAGGTAAAATCATCAGTGCTAGAAGGGAGTGAGGTTTGCAGAGAGGAAGAGGAGGAGGAGGAGGAGGAGGACTAGTGTGTGGTCCTTGGTGCTCTCTGAGCTTGTTTGTTTTCTTGCAGACGTTTCATTACCCAACTAGTTAACATCATCAGTGCTAGAAGGGAGTGAGGTTTGCGGAGAGGAGGAGGAGGAAGAGGAGGAGGAGGAGGAGGAGGAGGGTTGGGTCCTTGGTGCTCTCTGAGCTTGTTTGTTTTCTTGCAGACATTTCATTACCCAACTAGTTAACATCATCAGTGCTAGAAGGGAGTGGGGTTTGCGGGGAAGGGAAAGAAGAGGAAGAGGAGTCCTCAGAGAGCACCAAGGACCCCACAGTCTTTCTCCTCCTCTTCCTCCCCCTCCCCATTCAGAGAGGGCTGGAAATAACAAAAAAATAAAGAATGAAAAAAGCTGCTCCATCAAGTGCTTTGGTTGAAGGATCCAATTATCTCACCCCAAACACTTATGTAGGCCTGTCTGCCTTCATTCTCTGGGTATTCTGTGATCTCTTGAATTGCCCAGGCCTTCGGACTCTCTCTCTCTCTCTCTCTTTAAAAACTTCTTCCCACTTCGAAAAGATTTGACAAGGAGCACTGATGACACAATGGAAACTTTCCACCCACTCCAGGAGAGAGAAAAACCACCGGTGCTTATTTTTGACGAATGGAATATTTTACGGGGAAGGAATGATGGACCGGGCGGGCGGGTGGGGGGGGGGGAAAGAAACGAAAACAACAAGCAAAGTAGGCCAGAACATTGTGCTCATGGTGTGTGTGTGTGTGTTGGGTTTGCTTTGTCATCATTCCAGGGAAATAAGGATGAAGAGAGACATCAGCTGGATGCAGAAGAGGAACCAAACAAAGAAGGAAAGATGGGCAAAGAAACGTGGGGAGAAAGGATCAAGAAATTGAAAACTTTCATTTGGAATCCAGAGACCCGGGAATGCTTGGGCCGGACGGCTAGGAGCTGGAGTAAGTGAAATTTACCATTAGTCACTTATTTCCCATTAAGATAAGGATGAATGTTGCATCAATACTGCGTCAGTGTGCATATTTTTTTTTTAATAGAGTGGATGAGAAACCTAACATTTTACAGTTTAACACAGGGAATCCATCAAGGAAGGAAGGAATAAATATGGAGAAAAAATTGCACTTATTTCAATTGCGCAGATATTATTAATTTGTTCTTGCTAAACCAGCATAGACCAGCACTTCTACGATGGCAAATGTTTTGGTCTGCTTCATCTGTCTTAATCAAATGAGCGAGTTCACCACACTGAGATGAAACACAATTTTAAAGGCATCATTTGTGGATGGCAACTTTGGTTTAAGACTGAGAGCCAAATTGCTAGCATTCATTTGCGGCTTAAGCAACAGAGATGTTTAAGGGACTGGAGGCTAAAACATATAAAGAACAGTGGCAGGAATTGTGTATGCCTAGATTAATGAAAAGAAGGACCAGGGGTGACATAATAGCAGTGTTCCAATGTTTGAGGGGCTGCCCCAAAGAAGAGGGAGTCAAGCTATTCTCCAAAAACACCTGAAGGCAGGACAAGAAGCAACGGATGGAAACTAACCAGGGAGAGAACCAACCTGGAACTAAGGAGAAACTTCCTGACAGTGAGAACAATTAATCAATGGAAAGGCTTGCCTTCAAAAGTTGTGTGTGCTCTTATCACTGGAAGCTTTTAAGAAGAGTCTGGACAGTCATTTGTCCGAATTGGTATAAGGTTTCCCACTTGAGCAGGAGGTTGGACTAGAAGACCTCCGAGGTCCCTCTCAACTCTGTTACTCTATTATTCTGTTCTGTCATTAGTGTGCTGTAAAAATGCAGCCAAATATAGTTTTAAAAGTATATAATAAAAGCACAGTTAAGTGCATCAGGCTAGAAACTAAGGAACTGTAGGTTCTAAATCTTTCCTTAGGCATGAAGCCAGCTAGGTGACTTTGGGCCAGTCCCTCTCTCTCAGCCCTAAGAAGCAGGCAAGGGCTAAAATCCTTCTTAACAGGCTGCCTAGAAAATTGCATGGACGTATCCAAGTAGTAGCCAGGAGTCAGAACTAAGCTTCAAGGCACCCTCGCCAAAATTTGCTTAGCTGAGTTATCTCAGCTATGGACGGTGGCTTAATGGCAATTCACCTTAAGTATCTTAAATTTCCTCTTTTATGTTTTTTTTTTTTTAAAAAAAGGTTACGTTCTTGACCTTTCGAGCCCAAATTAATAATTAGAAATATTTTGGGGAATATTAGAAAGGCAGAATATATTTCCCCAAAGGAATAATGGAGAAGATCTTTAAAAAGACAGGAACCAGCCCCAGCCCCTCTACCCCAGGCAGAAACTAGACAGAGGTCAGCTTTTAGAAATGCAGATGTGATCATCCTTTCAGAAAGGTTGCAGCCAGGAAGCTAGAAGCTGATGAGATTAGGAAGACAAAGACCCCTAAAATCTACATACCCCCACCCAAACAGGAACAGGAAACAACCTCAAAGCCCCAGAAGGTATAAAAACCCACCACTCTCAGCTACATGTGGTCAGTTCTTCCAGAGCCATCTTTCTGTCTGGCTCTCCTCTTCAATAAACTACAACCTTCTTTCTAAAGCAGTCTCCATTTTGTTTATTCCCGGCTTGGATTAGACCCTGATGAAGATTTTTCTTCTCTCTCTCTCTCTCTCTCTCTCTCTCTCTCTCTCTCTCTCTCTCTCTCTCTCTCTCTCTCTCTCTCTCTCTCTATCTATCTATCTATCTATCTATCTATCTATCTATCCCTGTTTTATCTTCAAGCCCTCTTGTGCTCCATATTAACCTTATGAGATCGAATGGAAGCCAGGATTTATGTTGCTGAGCAACGTGGTTGTTGAGTCAGGTCCTATTTTACCAGCTTTTTGCCACGGTTGTTGAGCGAATCACTGCAGCCATTGAGTGAATCACGTGGTCGTTAAGTCAATCCAGCTTGCCCCTTTGAATTTGCTGGCTGGAAGTTTGCAAAATGGCAATCAGGTGACACCCCCCCCCGGGGTCCTCCAACTATTGTTAATACACACTGGTTGACAAAAGTTCCGAATTTGGATCACCTCATTGTGGGGATGTGGCTATGGTCATAAGCGCGAGGACTAGTTGAAAGTCCCTTTTTTTCAGTGCCCTTGTAAATTACATACTGGTTGCCAAAAGTTCAGATTTCGGATCGCCCGATTGTGGGGGATGCGGCTATGTCATAAAACGGGGCAAAACCCACCAAACAAATATGAAATTTGACACTCAATTGCGGACGTAAGTTGAGGATTGCCTGCGTTAACCACTGCAGCGATTCACGTAACAGCTGTGGCAGGAGGGGTTGTCAAATGGAGCAAAACTCACTGGAGAAGTGTCTCACGTAGCCACGGAAATTTGAGACTCAGTGGTGGTAAGTTAAGGATTGCCCGTATTAAGCTGAACGCTGCAGGGATTCGCTTAAGAACAGTGACAAGTAAGGTCGTAAAACGGAGCAAAACTCCCTGGACAGCTGTCTCGCTTAGCCATAGAAATTTGGGACTCAGTTGCGTAAGTTGAGGACTACCTGTGTCCCTATTAAATGGCCCCGGGGAGGGGGGGGAGCAAGTCAATGCCTCGTAGGCAGCATCCCCAGCCTTCTCCTGCGGGGGCCGTTCCGCCTTGCCGTGTTCAAAGAAAGGCTCCCCCCTGGCCTTCCTTGACCCCTTGCCAAAGCAGCTCACAGGTCCAAATTACAGTTTGTTTCCCTCCTCAGCAGCTCCCCCCCCCCCCAGGTCCTGTCCCCACGGCCCGCCCGCTTGTTCCCAGAACTCAAAATTCCCTGTAACATAAACACCTCAGGAACGCAGAGGCCAAAAGTCACAGCTGCGCTCAAAGCGTGTCCTGGAAATGCATTTGGGTCCCCGCTGGGAAATCAAAACACACCAAGAAGCTTCCATGGGGTGGAGGGAGGAGTTACTTTCATGCTTTTTATTTTATTTTAATTTTTTTTTTAAAAAAAAAGGGCCTGGGCTTTATTTTCCTGAGACAAAGCCTTGCAACGGAATAACAGAAAAACAAAGTTGGAAGGGACCCTGGAGGTCTTCTAGTCCAACCCCCTGCTCAAGCAAGGAGGCCCTATACTGTTTCAGACAAATGGCTGTGCAAACTCTTCTTAAAATCCTCCAGTGATGATGGAGCATTCACAACGTCTGNCTCTCTCTCTCTCTCTCTCTCTCTCTCTCTCTCTCTCTCTCTCTCTCTCTCTCTCTCTCTCCCTCCTATCTATCTATCTATCTATCTATCTATCTATCTATCTATCTATCTATCTATCTATCTATCTATCTATCTATCTATCTATCTATCTATCTATACCTGTTTTATCTTCAAGCCCTCTTGTGCTCCATATTAACCTTATGAGATCGAATGGAAGCCAGGATTTATGTTGCTGAGCAACGTGGTTGTTGAGTCAGGTCCTATTTTACCACCTTTTTGCCACGGTTGTTAAGCGAATCACTGCAGCCATTGAGTGAATCACGTGGTCGTTAAGTCAATCCAGCTTGCCCCTTTGAATTTGCTGGCTGGAAGTTTGCAAAATGGCAATCAGGTGACACCCCCCCCCGGGGTCCTCCAACTATTGTTAATACACACTGGGTGACAAAAGTTCCGAATTTGGATCACCTCATTGTGGGGATGTGGCTATGGTCATAAGCGCGAGGACTAGTTGAAAGTCCCTTTTTTTCAGTGCCCTTGTAAATTACATACTGGTTGCCAAAAGTTCAGATTTCGGATCGCCCGATTGTGGGGGATGCGGCTATGTCATAAAACGGGGCAAAACCCACCGAACAAATATGAAATTTGACACTCAATTGCGGACGTAAGTTGAGGATTGCCTGCGTTAACCACTGCAGCGATTCACGTAACAGCTGTGGCAGGAGGGGTTGTCAAATGGAGCAAAACTCACTGGAGAAGTGTCTCACGTAGCCACGGAAATTTGAGACTCAGTGGTGGTACGTTAAGGATTGCCCGTATTAAGCTGACCGCTGCAGGGATTCACTTAAGAACGGTGACAAGTAAGGTCGTAAAAGGGAGCAAAACTCCCTGGACAGCTGTCTCGCTTAGCCATAGAAATTTGGGACTCAGTTGCGTAAGTTGAGGACTACCTGTGTCCCTATTAAATGGCCCCGGGGAGGGGGGGGAGCAAGTCAATGCCTCGTAGGCAGCATCCCCAGCCTTCTCCTGCGGGGGCCGTTCCGCCTTGCCGTGTTCAAAGAAAGGCTCCCCCCTGGCCTTCCTTGACCCCTTGCCAAAGCAACTCACAGGTCCAAATTACAGTTTGTTTCCCTCCTCAGCAGCTCCCCCCCCGAGGTCCTGTCCCCATGGCCCGCCCGCTTGTTCCCAGAACTCAAAATTCCCTGTAACATAAACACCTCAGGAACGCAGAGGCCAAAAGTCACAGCTGCGCTCAAAGCGTGTCCTGGAAATGCATTTGGGTCCCCGCTGGGAAATCAAAACACACCAAGAAGCTTCCATGGGGTGGAGGGAGGAGTTACTTTCATGCTTTTTATTTTATTTTAATTTTTTTTTTTAAAAAAAAGGGCCTGGGCTTTATTTTCCTGAGACAAAGCCTTGCAACGGAATAACAGAAAAACAAAGTTGGAAGGGACCCTGGAGGTCTTCTAGTCCAACCCCCTGCTCAAGCAAGGAGGCCCTATACTGTTTCAGACAAATGGCTGTGCAAACTCTTCTTAAAATCCTCCAGTGATGATGGAGCATTCACAACGTCTGGTGGCAAGGGGTTCCACTGGTTGAGCGTTCTCACCGTCAGGAAGTTTCTCCTTAGTTCTAGGTTGCTTCGCTCCTTGATTAGTTTCCATCCGTTGCCTCTTCTCCTGCCTTCTAGTGCTTTGTTGGTGCAGGAGGCAGGGAGAAAGGATGCAATTTTCTGCCCGTCCAGAACATAGAACAATAGAGTTGGAAGGGACCTTGGAGGTCTTCTAGACCAACCCCTGCTCAAGCTGGAGACTCTATATGAGCCGTCCAGAGTAGTTTCCAGAGTTGAATGGCTACAGTAATCAAATATAAAACAAACAAACAAAGAAACAGATGTCATTCCAGACAAATGGATGTCCAGTCTCTTCTTGAAAATTTCCAAGTGATGGAGCATCCATCCCCAGGCCATCCCTTAATAGCTCTTCTCTTTCTTTCAGGTCTGATACTCCTTTTTTACCTTGTCCTTTACATGTTCCTGGCTGGCATGTTCATATTCTGTATGTATGTAGTCTTGATCACGCTGAGCCCTTACACACCAAGGTACAGAGACAGAGTGGCCCCGCCAGGTAAGTGCTCCAGGGAGGTTTTGTAAGGCGTCCTTTGAGGGGAAGACACTGAGTGTGTGCAGGGACTTATCTCAGAGCAGAGGAGATATGTGGTGGTGCAGTGGTTAGAATGCAGTATTGCAGGCTAATTCTGCCATCTGCCAGCAGTTCGATTCTCAACAGTTCAAGGTTGACTCAGCTTTCCATCCTTCCGAGGTCGGCAAAATGAGAACCCAGATTGTTGGGGGGGGGGGGCAATATGCTGACTCTGTAAACTGCTTAGAGAGGGTTGTGAAGCACTGTGAAGTGGTATAGAAGTCTAAGTCCTATTGCTATGCTGGCTAAAATTAGGGGCAACTACGTTGTGGGTTTGAAATCACTGATCAACGGTTCCATAGTCGGGGCCATTGATCATTTGCAAATTGGGTTTGTTTCATTGTCCTTGCCTCTGCCATATTTTGGGTCAACATCATAGGAAAGGATGCTATGAGGAAGTAGATCAAAAAAGTCAGTCCTATTCCTTTTAAAATTTATTTTTGCAGGAGTTACGATTAGACCGTACATAAAGCAGGCATACAACATCGCCTTCAAAATCTCCCAACCTAGTTCATGGCAGCCTTATGTGGACAACATGGAGCTGTTGTTAAAAGGTGCCTTTTTTTTTTCTTCCTCTGTATAACTATTAACCAGACGGGTTCTCTATATGCTACAATGGAACAGTCCACTCCTACTATAGAAATATGGAAGTCCTAGAACTAAATCCACAATGGGGTAATGCAGGGGTCCTCAACCCCAGGTCCGTGGACCGGCACCGGGCCGTGGCATGCCAGCAACCGGTCCGCGCAAACAAGCGAAGCCCCATCCGCATGATGCAGGCAGCATATGAAACCACGCCCCCTCGGGTCCGCAGAAAAACCTCTCCCCACGGAACCGGTCCTTAATGCCCAGAAGGTTGGGGACCTCTGGGGTGGTGGGCATCTTCCATACCAATGGGCTTCACTCTGAAAAGAGAAGGGACTTTATTTTTGTACTGAAAATACCAACGTTGAAAAGCGTTGCGATAAGGTCTACGTCATGGCGCATCAACCTTCTCTGTTGTCTTTAGAGTATGATGACAAGGTTCAAGAAACCAAAAACATCGTCTGCACCCCGGGCGCATATTTTGTACAAGACGGCGACGAAAGCGCAGCGAGGAAAGCTTGTCAGTTCAAGAGGTCCCAGTTGATGAAGTGCTCTGGACTTCAGGATCAGACCTTTGGATATTCCCAGGGGCAGCCTTGTGTATTGCTAAAGATGAATCGTGTAGGTCATTTTATACTTGCTTGCATCTGCTGGGGACACATCTGTGGAGATTCTCAGTCATCCAGACATCATGGTTGTCCCAAAGATGCTTTTTTTTCACAAGGCAACTGGACTTTCTTGTTTTCCTTTGAAGATGTTTCGCTTCTCATCCAAGAAGCTTCTTCAGCTCTGACTGGATGGTGAGGAATGGAAGGATTTATATTGTCTGCACCAGCTGTCTGCAAGGAGTATAAATCCTTCCATTCCCCACCATCCAGTCAGAGCAGAAGAAGCTTCTTGGATGAAAAGCACAACGTCTTCAAAGAAAAACAAGAAAGTCCAATTGCCTCGTGAAAAAGCATCTTTGGGTCTCCTGGGGACACTGGGTCAAGTAACCCATGTAAATGGGCATGAAGTAAGGGAAAAGGAACAGTGGTCTTACAAAATAGCAGAGTTGGAAGGGACCTTGGAGGTCTTCTACTCAAGCAGGAGACCCTACTATACCATTCCGGACAAATGGCTATCCAATCTCTTCTTAAAAGCCTCCAGTGATGGAGGACACACAACTTCTGAAGGCAAGCCGTTCCATTGATTAATAATTCCTCCTTAGTTCTAGGTTGCTTCTCTCCTTGATTAGTTTCCACCCATTGCTTCTTTTCCTGCCTTCAGGTGCTTTGGAGAAGAGGTTGACTCTGGGAGTCAATTCTGAGAATTGAAGTCCACCCATTTTAAAGTTGCAAAGTTTGAAAAACACTGACTTAAATATTGTACTATCTCAGCTTAGGTGGCAGTCTTAAACTTGCTTCCTCTAGATATTGGGCACCTGCTCAGATGGGGAGCTCTATAAATTTGATTAAGAAAACAAAACTCGAGTAAGGAGAGATTGAGGAAGGCTGTGTGAACTGTTCTGTGGCCCTGGAAAAGAAAGCAGTACGAAGTTCAAAGCGGTGGTAGCTTTTGATCTCTTGTTTTTAATTTTTACCTGCAGCAAAATAAGAGCTTAGAAGAACAAAGTGTTTTTAAAGGGAACTAAAAAGCTCTTGTTTTTGCAGATTATCGGGTATGAGCCTGGCCATGGCACTCCAATTACTGTGAGTTGTAAAGTCCAGGTAAATTATCTTGATTTTATTTGTTCTAAGTCCTGCAAACTTGCACCAGATATTCTTGGCAGCAAAACTCTTGAGCCAAACCTTGTTTTTCATTGTTAATGAGGAGAGACACAATTTTGGCACAACAGGGTGAGCAGCAAGACATGGTGACCATTTAAATCAGATTTGACCAGCTTGTACGTGAAGGGAGGAACAGCCCTGGTTTTGCTAAAACATCCCTGGAGCTCCACAGATTGTCCTTGACTTATGACTGCAACTGAGACTCGAATTTCAGTCGCTAAGCAATGCGGTCATTGAGTTGCAGCCAATTTTACCCCTTTTGTCTTTTTTGTTTCCCCCACTGTCTATGTCAAGACGAAGGATCTCCCATCTCCTCTGATTGGCAATAATTTCTCCAGGATTTGGGGCAGGGAAAATCGCTCATCGCTTTCCCCATGTTCCTTAAAACAATTACAGGTGTTTCTTATTTTACGACGGTTCATTTAGTGACTGCTGGAAGTTACAATGGCGCTGAAAAAAGTGACTTACGGGTGGTTTTTTTTTCCCCACACTCGCAACCCTTGCACGGTCACGTGATCAAAATTCACAGGCTTAGCAGCCAACTCCTATTTACGACAGTCGCGGCGTCCCGGGGGGGTGTCACCCGACCCTCTTTTGCGACCTTCTGACAAGCAAAGTCAATGGGGGAAGCTGGGTTCATTTAACAAGCGTGTTTCTAATTTAACAACTGCAGTGATTCGCTGAACAACAACGCTGGCCACCACGTTCGTAAAATGGGGCTAAAACTCGCTTGACAAATGTCTCAGCCACAAAAATGGGCACAATTGTGGTTGCTAAGTTAAGGACTACTTGTCATCCAAAACAGTCAGGAGATTGTGGAGAAGGGAAGTTCCATTTTTATATCTGGGTACAATGGCTAGCTGATTTCTTTCTTTTTTCTTTTTAAACTTTTGGGTTGGCTTCTCTTTTATTACAATAGGTATCAACCAACTTACTGATAAAATGAAAGCACCCCCCCCCCCCACAATGCAAAATGCTGTGTCCAGAGACATTAGAGTTAGGATCAGATAATTTTCTTCAAGTGAAATCGGGTGAAAAAAAACCCAAAACAAAAAGCAAAATCGAAGTTAGAAAAGACATGGCTTTCAAATTATACATAATAAATAAATAAATAATCCCCCCCCCCCAAACTGACTGAAATAATTATGGAGCACTTAAAAAAGGCAAATCTCAATAGGTCTATGGTAAACATGCAAACCTACCAAACAAGCAACATAAGATTAATTGTAGTTGCCATTTGCTGAATTAACATTTCAAAGGCTAGCTGATTTCCATTAACGGACAGCCTGTTGTCGATCCGTTGCGTATCTTGACGTCCTTCTCTGTGTTCTGAATTGCAGAAAGGCGAACAAAGTCACCTCCAGTCACTAGACTTCTTCCCAAGCGCAGCCTTTGACCTCATGTATTTCCCTTATTATGGCAAACTCACACACGTAAGTAGAAACGTGTTAACTCTCGGATTAACGTTGCGCCAATGATCCCTGTGGTATTGAGATGCTTTTTGGAGAGTAAGTCCATATTGGCAGTCTCCAGATGTTTTGAACCGCTGGAGATATCGACTTACATAGGTTCATTCAGTGACTGTTCGAAGTTATGACAGCAGTGAAAAAAAGTGCATTACGATCGTTTTTTCACACTAACACCCGTTGCAGCATCCCAGCACACGCAATCGCTTAGGTTGTTTTTTATTGCTTTCTGTCGTTTTTATGTCATTCCAAGTCTGAAATAAAGTCTCGATCGATCGTTTGTTTTTTTTTTCAGGTGAATTACACGCAGCCTTTGGTAGCAATTCATTTTACAGGAATTACAAGAAACCAGACTGTGGACATTCAATGCCAACTGAACGGGAAAGGAATTATCAATACCGTTAACAACGATCGATTTCTAGGGCGGATCATTTTCACACTAACCATCAACAGCTAAGGCCAGACCCTCCCCCGCCCGTTTGTGGATCACCCTTTTTATGGCAATCAGATGTTTCCTCACCGTGGGAAAATCCAATTGGCTATCGACCTAGCACCAGGAAACGCCAGACCTATTTTGAGGGTTAGGGTTTTTGGTTTTCTTTGAAAAAAAATAAAATAAAAATAAAATAAAAGATAGCTCCCAAGATAGACTATGGAACTAAAAGTAAAGCACTTGAAACATTCATCCTGGGAGTAAACCCATCAGCCCAACAATATTTTTTTTTTTTAAAAAAAAACATTTTAAACAAAACAGCATTTTAGATCTTTCTCCGGTGCGTCAAAAGAGCATCAAATTGAGAGTTTAGCCATAATACCACAAATAATTGGTTTTATTATTATTTTTTTAAATTTTTATTGTCCTTTGGGGACATATCTTCACTGTCAATACGGAAGTCAGCCAGCAGTTTTTCGTATTTAAGGGGCCAGTATGGAATAGATATTGAAAGACAGCCAGGCAGGCTTTTTCTGACTGTTTTTGCAATTTTTGAAATGGATATTCATAAAGCCACCTTCAAAAACCTCTTGATTTAACCCCTGTAGAAGACCCAAGGAACAGTTAGTTGGCCTTAAGCGTAATCTTTGCCCCCCCCCTCCAAAAATCCTTGGCTATTTTTATCCTATTGCTTTTCTGACTCAATTTAGTGGCAGTGATGTTCCCTACGCAGCATAGGCCTTCTCAGTCAAGACAGGTGTTTCCTTCAATAAGGAGGAAAAATGTGGTTTTCACGTTCACCAGCCTGGGATGCCTAATCAGGTTGGCAAAGATAGACAGAGGGATGTCTAGGGAGGGATCCTCCATCTTGAGCTTCTCAAGATGTTTGCCGGAAGCGTTCACCCTCCGCGCCTTTTTATTCCCACGGGGAACGGATCTCCACGGAAGGCCCACCACACAGTTGTGCCATCAGAATTGGGACTTTTCATTAGTAGCGTACTTCGGCCTGATCTCATGTTCTTGGAACAGGGTGGTAGATATCCACGTGAAGAAAGGGAGAACCAGCACTGGAGTGTACGGACTGCTCTCTCTCTCTCTCTCGTTGGCCTCCAACGTTCCTGTTGCAGCATTTCAGATTGGGAGAGAAATGACTGGGGAGGCGGTGAAGAGGTGGGGTCTCCGATGCTTGTACCCTGAAATAAAAGGACTGACTTACAGCATAGCAGAGCCTTTTTTCTGTACTGCACGTGGGCTTACAAAGGCTTGATGGTGGACAGTTGAGGGATAGGTCTTCAATGCTGTCGATGGATTTTCGTACCATGGGGTGTCTCAGGACTTGGGGTGAACAATCAACCAAGGTTAGGATTCCACCTTGGAATGGAACTCCAGGCATCTGGAAGCTCTTTTGAGGGAAGGTGGACTCCTACTCCATTTTATTTATTTATACCCACCTTTATTATTTTTATAAATAACTGAAGGTGATGAACACAATACACCTTCCTCCCATTTTCCCCACAACTACCATTCTGAGTTGGGCTGAAAGAAAGCGACCGTCCCAAAGACATCCAGTTGGCATTTCATGTCTAAAGTGGGACTAGAATTCACCATCTAGAACTCACAGTCTCCTGGCAAAAGTCAACCAGTAGTTTTCACGCTAAAGTGGGACTAGAAGTCACTGTCCTCACTGTCAGGAAGTTTCTTCTTAATTCCAGGTTGCTTCTTTCTTTGATCAGTTTCCATCTATTGTTTCTCGTCCTTCTCTCTGGTGCTTTGGTGAACAACCTGGCCCCTTCTGCCTTGTGGCAGCCCCTCAGATACTGGAAGACTGCTATCATGTCACCCCTGTTCCTTCTTTTCTTTAGACTGGCCAAACCCAGGTCCCGTAGCTGTTTTTCGTATGCGACATGCCCTGTGCAGCTCATCCCACAGCCTAAAGATAAAGTCCAAAATACTCTCAAGCAACACGGATAGGGTGGTTTTCTTTTTTATTATTTATTTTCAAAAAACAACAACAATATCCAAGTATCACATAAATGTAGAGAGGGGAAATAAAGGAAGAAAATGGGCTGAGGAAGGGAAGGGAAAAGGGGAAGAGGGGTTTACACAGGGTGATAGTCAACTTGGTGCTTGTGTTTGGAAACCATGAACATCACAAAGCCAACAATAACCAAGACGCCAGTCACCACACCCACCACAACAGGGATGACAAAGAGGATATCAGAGCTTTTACATTCTTCAGCTGCAGAGATAAAGATGGGAAAAAAAACAAAAAACAAAACAAGAGGCAGAAGGTTAGTTAGTGACCAAAGTGAGTATTGGAAGATAAATGAGCAGGAGCGCAAATAGGCAAAGCTATTCTTTATGGTGGGTAGGGGCTGGTGGGCTGCTCTTAACCACTTGGCTCTAAAAGTTGTCTTCCTGGTTGACGGAGTTTCCCAAATGAATACCTACCAGATGCTCCGGCAGCTTATGGTCCACGGTACACAGGATCAAATTGTTCTTATGAATGGAGGCAGGCCCCTTGGCCAACCTCAAGGAGAGCGAGCATCTGCAGAAGGGCAAATTTCTTGGGGTTTCTTTTACAGAAGTGGAGGGAAATGGGAGATTCAGCATCAGCCGCCAAGATGCCGCACAAAAGGATCGCTTTCACCAATGGAAAACAAGATCTCCAGCTTCTTTTGGGTCTCCTTTCAAGCCACAACCAAGCTTTCAACATACGCGTGTAAAATCTTAAGCCCATTCTTTCTCTCCATCTTGCCAGCTTTTTCTTGGCTCTCTGTTTTTAGACTGCCTACTGTAGGTTGTTTGCCCCACTGTTGTTCACCGTGTGCATTTGAAGAGCCCTGGTGGCGCAGTGGTTAGAATGCGGTATTGCAGACTAACTCTGCCGACAGCCAGCAGTTCGATCCTGACCAGCTGAAAGTTGACTCAGCCTTCCATCCTTCTGAGGTCGGTAAAATGAGGACCCAGATTGTTGGGGGCAACGTGCTGACTCTGTCAACCGCTTAGAGAAGGCTGTAAAGTACTGTGAAGCGGTATATAAGTCTACGTGCTATTGCTATTAGGGACACAGTAAAGAAGCCTAAGTAGCCTGGAATGCAGAGTTTCAGTTTCAAGAATAATAGGTGAAAATTGGTATTGGACCTCTGGCGTTTAGGACAAAATTATCCTCATCACTTTCAGTCCATTGAAACAGGCAGCTTTACTTGGACAAGCTTAAATCCTGCAACAATACTTTTAACACCATCAAACCACTTCTGTCTATCCCCGGTCCTTGGGATCTACAAGAGGTAGATCCCCGGTCCTTTTATCTACAAGAGGTAGATAAAAAAGGCCAAGTCCAGTCCAAACATCTGCAGACTTTGAGACGAAGCATAATGGTAATAACATAATAAATATATACGTCACCCAACTTCCAGCAACTCTGAATTAGATCTAATTGGGGGTGCCCCTCTTAACCTGTATAATTCCTAATTTGCAGTTCTCTGTAGCTGATATCGGGGGAAGACAGGTAGATAACGACTTCTCTGTGTCTCAAATAGCTAATCAGTCACCCGGCCTGATCTCTATGGCTGCCTAACCAGGTTGTGGGTGGGCTTTTGGTTCATCCTGTGAGCCCAGCCAAATGTGGCCTTTTCGACAAACGGTGGGCTTAGCACTTGTGAATCCAGCCACCAATTCAAAAAAATATATACCAGTGATGGCGAACCTTTTAGAGACCGAGTGCCCAAACTGCAACCCAAAACCCACTTATGCATCATCGGGTGCCGGGTGGGTGTGGCCCATTAGGTGGGTGTGGCCCATTGGGTGGGCGTGGCTGCAGTAGTAACAGCAGACTGGGTGGGACTAAAAAGTTCAATCAATCAATTCCAACTTTGCAAGAACTTTTTTTTTTCCCAAGAGAAGTTGAAATTGACTGATTGATTGAACCTTTTTTTTTTTTGCACATGGCGGCAGAGGCCTAAAGCGAAAAGTTTTTATAAAACCCAGCTGAAGGCCTAGGACTGGGGTGATGGCGCGCGTGCCCACAGAGAGGGCTCTGAGTGCCGCCTCTGGCACCCGTGCCATAGGTTCGCCACCACTGATATATACTGTGATTGACAGTTTCACGCGAAGTCTAAACCGAGCAAACAACGAACCCGAGTCAAGATTTCGCTCAGGAATGCAATGTTTTCTGATTCCAGCCATCCACATCCCTCCCCACCCCACACGCATCGCAAGACGGTCAACTTTTGCACGGGTTTGAAATTCTGGCTGGCTTCTTTGCAAGACGGTTAATCGAAGCAGAGAAAACAAATGCGGGATACAGTATTTGGACATCTTCAAAAACGCTTTAGTTAGAGAGAGAAAGCAACATCGACAGCATTTTGCAAAACTCCCCCTTTCAGGAACAACACGCTTTTTCATAAGGGGGGGGGCAAAGCATCGGTACAGAATAAAAAGTCTTTCAGAAAAAGCACGCGCCCTGCATCTCTTTTCTTGAAGCTTTGGTATAAGTCTTCTTTCCTTTTGGAGCCTGACAAAATGATGCTATGAACATGTTAAGATTACAGCATTGGTCACATTTAAATCCCCCCCCCCAAAAAAATTGAGCAGGTCCTTTCTAAGAAAGAGAATATGCTTCTGTTGGTGTACATCCAAATGCAGAAGAAATCTCTTCCAGCTTATCTTAATAAGCCACCGATTCAACAACCATTAACCCCCAACATCCTTCTGTCAGTAGAGTAGCCGTTTTGTGCAATGTTTAAAGGAACAAGCATGTGCGAGAAATAACGCCAATCCTTCCTCCTGGTCAGTTTGAAAATGGAAGACTTCACCCTGCATCGTTTTTCGGGGTCTAGATCTCTCTATAGCCAGCACGATGCCGAATTTTAGCACAATATGCCATGAGCACCAGCCAAACTAAGCCTACCAAGGCTACTGCCATCAGGAGTGGCACAAAGAAGTAGTCGACCGCTGGGGTGCAATCTTCAGCTGGATGGAGAAAGGGTGACAAACAGAGTTAAGCAGGTGAGACGACCTCTTGAAGGAGAGCCTCATTCTGGCCTTTGACCCAACTGGGATGTCAAAGGCAAGCTCACCAAAATTGCTTTCCCAACATAAACCACAAAGCAAAGCAGATCTCCCCATTCGCAAAGCCCCCAGACACTTTGTACAAGAGACCTTCTTGTAGGCTTAGGGAGCTCAACAAAAGTCCAAGCTGATGGAACATGTAAGGTAACTAGACGCCCTCCACAGATATGAAAATCAACTCCCAGCCAATATGACTTCTGATTGGAATTCTGGGACCTCAAGAACCACAATCTGGAGGATGTCCACGTTGGGAACTGCGGTTGTCAAGACTCAGTAAGGAAAGGCCAACTCTATTGTCCAATATTGCTCCAGATGTTCCTGGGGAGGTGGAAACCAAAACAAGGAAGCAATATTCCTTTCCCAAGGGCGTCCACCAGCAGGAACCATGGTGGTTGGGAAACCAATTCATGGCTTAAATAAACTGGGGCGCCATGTTTTGTTCAAGAAACCATTGGGCAGAATAACTGATAAAGCAAAACCTCCAGGAAATCTCTAGAAATCCCATACTTCTTCCTCCTTGGCTAATTTCCATTTATTTAGCTATTTAGACTAATAACCAGCACCATTTCCTTTGGTACGGTTGCCTCCCTCATCATGATGATCAGAATAAGCTCCAATTATTGGCGTCACCCAATAGACCAGGGGTTGAACCACGGGCAAATAGTCTTAAAAGACTACTTTTTGGGAGAAAGGTTTTCAATTAAGCATCACCAAATTTCCTCATGAACAGAAGAGTTTTTATTAAAGAACTACGTGCAAACAGTCAAATTCCTACACAGAAGTACAAACACGGTAAAGACCACAGTTGCTTTAACAGTTAAAAAGCAGACATTTATCAGGATTGACACAGGCGAAGTTACTCTATTGTTCAGACTTTTAGTAGAAGAGCTGGGGCTGCAAATCCAACAGAGGCATTGATATATTTTCAAGTGAAAGGGGCACCCTGAGTTCGGTCTTTGTAAATACCCACAGCAGCATATAAATAACGACTTGACAAATGTACTAATCCCTGTTAATACACACGCCCATACACAAAGAGCTGTTGAATCCAAAGAGACAATAGTGCAAGTACAATTTAGGTACAATCTTAATTACGGTTGCCCCATTAAGGAGGAAAGCAAGATATTAATTGAAGGGCAAGATTAATTTATCCTCTTCCTTTTTATTATAGGGCTACTGCTGATAACTGTTTGTAAACTAGGGGGTTTTAATACGCAAAAAGTACTTTACGTTCCAGTTCTGAAAGTGCCTTAACTGGCAGAAAAGCCCTGTCCTATGATATTGGCTTGCCAATCTTTCATGGTCTTTTCATTATTATCAGAAAAAATAAAAATCTAAACAGTATCCCTTTGCATGTTGTTTTGTTAAGAAGGCTTACAATGGGGATTCATGTGCTAAAACTTTACAGGCACTTCAAGGAGCAACTTTCTGAGACTAAGATCCTCAGCCCCATTTACACCTGGCTGCAAATACAACAGTGCAAACTGGATTTTTAACAATGCCTTTCTTCTAATTTCCACCCAGCTTGTATAAGACCTTCAGCTAGAGAGGAATTTAAATCCTTCAACATAAACTAAGGACACTTAAAACAACAACGTTCTCATTCTATTTTGTTTTGGTGGTTGTTGTTGTTTAAAAAGAAGGCAATTAATTCTTTTCACCTCCTAGACCAGGGGTAGTCAACCTTGGCTCTTTTATGACTCGTGGACTTCAACTCCCAGAATTCCTGAGCCAGCTAATTCTGGGAATTGAAGTCCACGAGTCATAAAAGAGCCAAGATTGACTACCCCTGTCCTAGACAAAAGACCAACGCCTCCAGTATTTGAAAATGTTGCTGTTGGGTTATTTTAAAGTCTCAAAGAGCCAGGACGAGTTTCAGAATTAGTAACTGCTACCAAATTGATGGAGAGAGAGAGAAAAAAAAGAATGCATTAATCAAGTTTACTCAGGCTGAAGTAGTTAACCCAACAGATTTGTTCATAAGCTGAAAGAAAACAACCTTGTACCATAGACAGGCCTAGATTCCCAAGTTACAGTTGTTATGGCAGCCAGGCTAACCATCGGTTTGTACACAACACAGCTGTAGCAAAGGCCTTGATTTGTACCCTTGTGGCTTTAACACCCTAAATTGAGCCTGAGTAAAACCAACCCCTCTCCTCAAGAATTACTTATTGACTTAACATCTCTACATAACAATATTTCAATCTAAAGTTTCGTTTCAGAGCTGACTTTCGCCTTTCCTAGCTCTCCGAGGCAGTTTGCAAAGTCCTTATTACATTCAGATGAGTTCAATTGTTGGCTGTGTTTCACTGGAGTGCAGAGGGGGTGCCCCAGTTTTTTAAATAGAGTCTCACAGGTTTTACACAGTTGGCTTCCATGCGTGGGAAACGGGCTTTTTAATCCCCACCAAGATTGAAGAACAGTCACACCAGCCCTACAGGGTTTGATAGCCGGCGTAAGTTTTCCTTCGGCCAATTAAGTAAGTGGTCACTATTATAACAACCAAGCCTGCAAGGGCAGCTCCAGCTACAATTGGGATGAGAACAGTGTCATCATCCAGCAAACATTCTCGTGCTGTAGATGAGAAAGAAGGAATAAAAAAAAAAATCAAAAGATAATTTGGTGAAAAGAAAGCCTAGCGAGCAGGGCTTTATGGCAGGCATTACAATCCTTAATTAGAGAATCCAGCTTAAGAGACGCCTTCGTAACATTTTTCCATGAAAATTGAGAAAAAAAGGACAGCTGATCAATGGCAAGAGGCCACGATGGCCCTTTTTTTTTTTTTGCCAAGGATTGAAATAAATCTGGCCAGAATCTCAAAATGGCTAAAATTCCCTGAGAATTCTTCATTAATCTCTCTTTTAATATCGTGGTTTCTCCCCTAAGATGTTGGCATTCCGGCTAGAAGTTTTATAAATTCTTATTATGAGAACATCAAAAACCTCGTGAAATCTGACACCATTTTCTGAGTTAGGGGTTGCTTCTGCAAAGCATTTTGGGAATATTTTGGGCTTTTTTGCAAGCCAATTTACCAGCTTTTAGATTAAAAAATTCCATTGATGCTTAAAAGTGATGCAACTTTCATAATACGTATGTATGTATGTATGTATGTATGTATGTATGTATGTATATGTATAAAACCCTGAACATTTGTTGGGTTAAATGAGCGATGGGAAACAATGGTCAAAAATTTAGATTTAAGAGGCCAATCCGGGGTTCAGATCAATCTTCTCTCAGTCCTGTTCATCATCTGAAAAGTTTTGGCTCCAACAAAAGATTATTATGAGGCATACAGAATAAACGTGATTCCAAACAAAGCTACATTTATAGCCTTTACAAGTATATTTATCTTAAGATAAATTTGTTTCAAGATTTAGAGGCCTAAGAGTCTGAAGTTAAGTGTTTTTTTTTGTTTTTTTTAAAAGACATTCAACCAAGTTTTAAGAAGTGGGAATAAGTGTTCATCAGTTTGAAAGCTCTTTGCAAATTGACCAAGTATTTTCAGAGCAGAAAGCTCAATTTTTAAAGGAACCGGCTAGAGTTTCTAGGAGATCTATCAGTTTCTCTCCCCTTTATGGAATCCACTCAATTCAATATATCCCAAAGCGGTTGTCAGCATAAGCTCTTATTGTTATCATTAGATCCTTATCTGTTCTCTAACTGTGACCATTCTGGCTCATGCAATTCAGGGATTACAGATAGTCCTCAATTTACAACCATTCGTTTAGCGACGACTTGAAGTTACAACTGCCCTTAGTGATTAGGGTGGAGGTTCGTTCTCCAAGATTGGGGATTGCTTTCCGAACGTTTCGTTCCCAGGCTAGGTAACACCTTCAGCGGAGTTTAGGGCATGGGTATCAAATTCAATCACATCACATGATGTATCGCGATGGGGTTTTTTGCCTTTGCGGAGCCGGGGTGGGCGTGGCCTGTGTGTGACGCATCTGGCCCGCGGGCCGCCAGTTTGACACCCCTGCTTTAGGAGATGTCAGTGTCGTTTATAAGGGCTTCAGGTGTGGGTGTGTCGAGTGTGATGGGTCATGTGTGAATCATCGGTGAGTCTTGTGATGGGGAGGGTCCATCAAGTCAGGGGCATTGGGAGGTGGACGGTTGGAGGGAGTGGAGGATTGCGCGGGATCGTTGAGGGTTGATGCTGTCTCTGGTTGGCTGTGTGGTTGATTTGGATTCTGAGGGGTTCGTAGGCCGATTGTAGGTCAATGTGTCTTTCGATGGCGTTGCTTGTGGAGTGCCAGGCTTCCGTGAACCGTACAGCCAACCAGGGACAGCACTGACCCTCACCCAGCCCACGCAAGCCCCCCTCCCACCAGCAGTTGCCGTCCCAATGACCCTGTCCTGATGCAACCTCCCCATCACAACGTTGTAACTCTGAACGGTCACTAAATGAGCAGTTGGAAGCTGAGGACTTCCTGTTTCCACAATTAATGGAATGCCTCCGAGGAGTCTTAGTTGGCATCTTTAAGTGAAAGTGTCCTAAAATCTCCTTGGCTTTTCTCTCTTACCTGCTGAAAACTGCCCTTCTTCAACTTCAAATGGCTGGATCTTTAAATCGAAGATGTTTATTTTATAGCTGGGGGTCACCAGGATGGATTCTTCTTTCCGGCACAGGTAGGAATTCCCCATGGTGGTTTCCCAGTTATTGAGGGTGTGATTGGAGGCTGAAAAGGTTCCTGAAGAGGAACAAGATGGTAGATGAGCTTGGATGGCAATAATGTGTTATTTTTTTATTTATTTTAAAATTTATATCCCATTTTTTAAAAATAAACAATTAAAAGGCAACAAACATAGCAAATACTCCTTCCTCCTATTTCCCCCACAACCACAACTCTGTGAGGCAGGTTGGACTGAGAGAGAAGAACTGGCCCAAAGTCACCCAGTTGGCTTTCATGCCTAAGGTGAGACTAGAACTCACTGTCTCCTGGTGATCGGCCCAAAGTCACCCAGCTGGCTTTCATGATTAAGCCGGGACTAGAACTCACAGTCTCCTGATGATTGGCCCAAAGTCATCCATCTGGATTTCATGGTTAAGTCAGAACTAGAACTCACCGTCTCCTGGTGATTGGCCCAAAGTCATCTATCTGGATTTCATGGTTAAGTCAGAACTAGAACTCACAGTCTCCTGGTGATTGGCCCAAAATCATCCAGCTGACTTTCATGCCTAAGGTGAGACTAGAACTCACCGTCTCCTGGTGACTGGCCCAAACTCAGCCAGCTGGCTTTCATGATTAAGCCAGGACTAGAACTCACAGTCTCCTGGTGATTGGCCCAAAATCACCCAGCTGGCTTTCATGCCTAAGGTGAGACTAGAACTCACCGTCTCCTGGTGATTGGCCCAAAATCACTCAGCTGACTTTCATGCCTAAGGTGAGACTAGAACTCAACGTCTCCTGGTGACTAGCCCAAAGTCACCCATCTGGCTTTCATGTTTAAGTCAGGACTAGAACTCACAGTCTGAGGCTTTCTAGCTTGGTATCTTAACCACTAGATAAAAGTGGTTCTTTATATATCTAATTTAACCAGAAACTATATTTTACAATACCCCTGTTTTGTAAGAGGGATTTTACACATTTCTGGCTGGCCACCATAAAAAAAAAACAAAAGTCAAGGAAAAAGATTTCCAGATAACGTGGTCGTTAATCCTAGGGAGTTGTTTTGATCATTAAACATCTCTAACATTTTCTTCTTTTTGTTTAATTGCTTATGAGTTGCTTAACATGCTGTTCATGGCCAGGGGAGACGTTTGATAACATTCAAGTAACCAACCGATTTGCATTTTGTTTGCATCATTATTGAATTACAATTGCTGGTTTGTGAAAAGAAAAGCACCAAACAGGTCTCTAAGAAGTCAAACGAAGCACTGAAAATAAAAGAAAAGCCTTTTTTTTTTACTGTTGTTTTTGCAAACAATTTCAACAATTTCAGGTGAGGCCTATCTAGCTTTCTCTAACCAACCTATTCTTGGTTTCCGGCTTTGCTGATGACTCATTGTTCCAAGGAGCTGGATGAGGAAAGACAGTTTACAATAAATATCCTTTTAAGAGCCTGACTTGAGTTTGCATCATTCTGCTCTGGAGGATGTATTGCAAATTTTTTGTTTCTGTTTTTTGGTGAGAAGTGCCAACTTTAAAAAGCCAGCCCCTTTTATGTACAAAACATCTCTTGTTCAAAACACAAAACAAAAACATTCTACAGGGAGTCCTCAAACTTACGACAATTGAGCCCAACATTTCTGTGGCTAAGTGAGACAGTTTGTTAAATAGGTTTTGCCCCATTTTACGAAGTTTCTTGCCACAGGGGTTAAGAGAATCACTGCAGAGGTTAGGCTAGTCCAGGGGTAGGCAACCTTGGCTCTTTTATGACTCGTGGACTTCAACTCCCAGAATTCCTTAGCCAGCATGGGGGAAACTTTGGCCCCTTCATGACTTGTGGACTTCAACTCCCAGAATTCCTGAGCCAGCATGGCTCAGCATGGAAACCTCTCCCTTTCCCCTCAGCACGGCTGGCTCAGGAATTCTGGGAGTTGAAGTCCACGAGTTATAAAAGAGCCAAGGTTGCCTACCCCTGGGCTAGTAACACAGTTGTTAAGTGATTCTGGTTTCCCCATTGACTTTGCTTATAGAAAGTCACAAAAGTGGATCACGTGATCCCCTGAGGACGCTGCGACCGTCATAAATACGAGTTGGTTGTGCAAAACATCTGAATTTTGATCCAGGACCGTAGAGATGCTACGACGGTCGTTAACTGTGACAATCGATCACAAATCACTTTTTTCAATGCCGACGTAACTTTGAACGGTTGCTAAATGAACTGTACATGTACTGGACTCTAAGTGCCCAAACACCCCTTACCGTTTGATGATTCCGCTACAGTGATATCCACTCCTTTCAGATAGAATTTTTCCGAAGTCGTAGAATTTCTCTATTTTTCACAAAAGGAAACCCGGTTACATATACAATTGAAATCATTTTACCGAGAAATACTGTTCAGGGGAAGCCTACAGTGGAAAAGATACTGTACAATTGTATTTATTCGGGGGTGAGGGGGCAGATTATGGCAACCTTCGATCTCTGAGAAATATCAGTGGAGCAGGGGAAAAAAAAAATCAGTTCCATCTCCTGTAGGTTTGTTTCAGTGCAATTCACTGAATAAAATCCCCCCCCCCCAATAATGTGAAAAATGAGGCTTTGGTGTCAGTCTCTGGCAGGCACTGACGTAGATGTAACAAATGCCTAACAGACTGAAGTCACAATCAGATATCTGCTGGAAGTAATCTGATACTGCAACAGGCAGTTAATTCATGACTTAATGAAAGCGATCCAGTTTTGAAAGACAGACCGTTTTGATTGCAAAATGAACCTGGAGTGGCTGCATTTAAGGCTGGAGCAATTCTGGAAAAAGCTGGAAGGCATCTCTTTGCTTCCTCCAGCACAACTGAAAAAGTTCCCTGGCTTTTCTCTTGTTGGGATTTTGCATAGGGAAATAACGCCTAAATAAATCAAGTCAGTGCATCAGTAGTACATGCCCTGGTGGTACTTACCACAGCAAAGAGGAAATCAACCTTCGTGTTACCTTCATTCAGCCGAAGCACGGCGGTTGTCTTGCCACAATTACCGGTAGCCACTGTGCTGTTTGGATTAAAGTTAATGATGGTGGGAACCTGAAGAAAAACAGAAACATTTCAGCCCCCTTATCGTTTCTCCTGCATATTTTATCCCCACCCCACAAAGATCTTCAAGCTTGGAAGCTCACAAAATTATCTCCAGGTCTAATCCTGGTTGACCATTAAAAGTGGGATGATTCTGTCTCACCGTAGGCATCTCTCACAGCTGGGAAGGCACACAAAAAAATATTTGTGTTCTGGGGAGCTCTAAAATCTGTTCCAAAACCCGCTTCCCACCTTACTTAAAAAGGTGCATGATGGCTAAGTGTGCAGTGCCAGAACCAAGAAACGAATCACGTCACCCTAAAGATTCTATTAAAATATCCACCTGGACAGCTTTTAAAAAACTAACTCAAAGTTCAGCCGAGAAAGAAAAGAATCTTTTGCACGGAGAAAAATACAGAAGTCATTTCTAAAAGGAGAGGGTGTTCCTTGAAGCCAATGCTGCCTTTGCTTACTGATTTAAATTTATTCTTCTAGCGTCCATCATTAATTAGCGAGGCGCCTTAGCGTTTCCAGGAAGGAGGATTCAGACATCATTGCAGACAAAATTTGGGGAATCTACACTCCCTCTACTGGTGAGCAGGGCACCCAAAAGCTATGCAAGCCCTTTTATTTGTGCATTTAATAACTTTATGTGCTTAACCTGAACGGCAACTCTGGCTTATTGGTTGTGCAATACGCATAATCAGTAGATAAATGCACGGTTTAAAACAAACGGAATTAATTAGCAATCGTTTACACGTTCACTTCCTGCTATGGCCTGCTCTTGTCTTTTAAACCAAGCAGGTGTGGTAAGTGGAAGGAAAAAAAAGGGTTGAATAATCCAATTTTTAGTTGCTTTTACACATCTCTCTCTTCTGTTAATGGTCAGGTCATAGCAAGGATTCTCCTGGCAGCTGGGAATGGTGAGCTTGTATTATTTAAGTCTTCTTTCAGTGCTGATATCCAGGGCCGGGCTAACATGAGTCTCTCAGTTTCTTCCTAGCATAGGGCAGAAGTTCTCCATACTCCCTTTTCCCTCTAACTTTAGCATAAAGGGGAGAAACCCCCCCCCCCGAACCCTAAAGCAACATTCAGCATTTTTACCACCCAATTTCAGCCACACCATCATGGGGTATGTCTAGTTTAACGAAGAGAAGGACGAGGGGGAACATGATAGCAGTCTTCCAGTATCTCAGGAGCTGCCCCAAAGAAGAGGGAGTCAAGCTATTCTCCAAAGCGCCTGAAGGCAGGACGAGAAGCAACGGATGGAAACTAATCCAGGAGAGAAGCAACCTAGAACTAAGGAGAAACTTCCTGACAGTGAGGACAATTAACCAGTGGAACAACCTGCCTCCAGAAGTGGTGAATGCGCCAACACTGGAAGATTTTAAGAAGAGACTGGACAGCCATTTGTCCGAAATGGTATAGGGTTTCCTGCCTGAGCAGGAGGTTGGACTAGATGACCTCCGAGGTCCCTTCCAACTTTATCATCATTATTTATCATTATTATTATTAAGAGCTCTCAAAATTGAGGTTAAAGTCAGCCCACAGAAGGCCAGCTTCTGTATACGCCACGAAGCATCAATGCTGACACACACGAATCCACAACAGCCACGGGGATAACCAAGACAGTATATATTTGTGAAACCTGTTGAGTGACGTTCAGTTGCAAACCCATGTTGGCTAAAATGCAGGTAACCAGGCCAGATTTGACGGTGTAGCTTCCCGTGGCAGGTTTCTCCTCTGGTTGGACGGTGGGGGAAGATGGCGTTTCTGTGGCGTTTGACTCTGGAGTGCCCGTGATGGCGGCCAGGACGATGGATTTGCTGGCCGCGGGAGCAGTGGACGCTGTGGCGTCATTATCACACAGAGCCTCTGGGTGGGGGGGAAAAAAACCCAGAGAAATTTGAACCAGGAGCCCTGGTTCTGGACAGCACTTACGTTTATACCCATCAACAGCACAGGTAGTCCTTGACTTACGACCACAATTGAGCTCAAGCATTTTGGTTCCTCGGTGAGACGGCCATTAATTGAGTTTTGCCCCCATTTTATGACCTTTTCTTACCACAGTTGTTAAGCGTACAATTGTTAAATTATAAGTGAATCTGGCTTTCCGTTTGACTTTGCTCGAACAAGTCGCAAAAGGGGATCACATGACCCTGGGAACACTATCAACGTCATAAATACATGCATGTTTATAATAAAATACATGCCAAGCATCTGAATTTTGATCACGTGACGAGGGGGGTGCTGCAGCGGTCACGTGTGGAAAACAGTCACTTTTTCCAATGCCATTGTAACTTTGAGTGGTCACTAAACAAATATTGTTAAGCCGAGCCCTCCCTGTATACTACCAAACACAGTATTTTTCCACAGGAAGCTCTGAACATACTGTAGTTTCCCCAAACTTTGGAAAACCTGCTGGGGATTATGGGAACCGAAGTCAAATGTTCAAGAAAGCTATAAATCATGGATGTTCCATGGTATTGCCATCTTTTCATTGGCGGCTGTAGACCAGGTGAATCGTTTAAAAAAGGATGATGAAAACTTCATGCTGGGAGCCAAAGATATGGTAACGCCGCAGACATGGCCAACCCAAGGGTGAGAAACAAGATGGGCCCCCCCTCAATGCCATATCTGATGGTTTTCTAAGGTGGCGGTTGAATATTTCTTTAGTGACATGAACGGAACTTCCACGTATCTCAAAATCACAATCTAGCTTACAAGAAACAGGTCTTATGGCAGGGGATTCCCTTCTCTAACACCTGGCTACTATCTCCTCACTTCTTCTGCTCGAGTGACTGTTTCATGTAGATCATGGTGGGGCCAACCCATTTCATTGATATCAGTCCCATAAATGCAGCCTTTAAGGCAGAGGTGGGGGAACGATGGCCCCTTGATGATTTGGGGAATTCAACTCCCAACATAGCTGGCTGAGGAATTCTGGGAGTTGAAGTCCACAAGTCGTAAAAGGGCCAAGTTTGAAGACACCTGATGTAGATCATGGTGGGGCCAACCCATCTCATTGATATCAGTCCCATAAATGCAGCCTTTAAGGCAGAGGTGGGGGAACGATGGCCCCTTGATGACTTGTGGAGTTCAACTCCCAACATAGCTGGCTGAGGAATTCTGGGAGTTGAAGTCCACAAGTCATATAAAAGAGCCTTCATTCCCCACCCCTGCTTTAAGTGAACACATCTCTTGCTAGAAGGAACCACTTACTCAGGAGCATCCAACTAAAAGCCTCGGTTCTCAGGACAGGAACTGTTTACTTTTTCAAATGTGACCGCTGCCCAATTTGTAAACCCGTTGAGTACTCTTGAGCTTACTCACTCTGGCTACTCAAGCGTCCATCTTGAAGGAAAGCTTGCAGAGTCACACTCTGGAACGTCTGGGTCACATCGCCACTTTTCACCGTGTCTTCAGTGTCACAACTAAAGGCCGTATTTAGCGGAACTGGGTTGGCAGGAAAACTGGCCTCAACGGTTATTCGTTCTGTAAAGAAATCAACACGTTTGGTTCAAGGCTGCCAGCTCTAAGGCTTGCAAATATTAAAACCTAAATGTCTGTGGAGATTCTCAATCATCCAGTTCATGGTTGTCCCAGAGGGAGTTTCTTGGTTTTTTTTTTCCCTTTGAAAATGTTTTCCTTCTCATCCAAGAAGCTTCTTCAGGGAGTTTCTTCCAGTCGCCTTTTGGAAAAGCCCCTTTGGGATATTAAACCTAAAGTTCCTTGCAGGAGACCAGAGGCCAAGAAAGACAATGGCACCCATTTGTACTAAGCTAGCAACCAGGACTTACAAGCCACTAATTCAGGGGTCTTCAAACTTGGCCCTTGTATGACTTGTGGACTTCAACTCCCAGCCAGGCATGCTGGCTGAGGAATTCTGGGAGTTGAAGTCCACAAGTCATACAAGGGCCACGTTTGAAGACCCCTGCACTAATCAGACCCAAATTAATGTGACAGATGAATCCAGCCAGGGGAAATTCCTTTCTATCAAGATCCGTTGTAAAGAACTGCAAGCGAAGGAGGAAAAAAAGCACTTTTCGCTCACTCAAGACAAACAGCCAGAGTGGCACCCTTAGTACAAGATGGGGATCAAGAAGACTTAAGTGCCCACTCATTCTTGCTCAATTCAGCTCAGCCCTCTTCGTAGCACTCCTTGTATAAAATGAGGAAATTCTCACTCGGGCAAGGCCAGCTTAAATTCTCAGGGAGAGGCAAGGCAGCGCTGCAACAAATAAAACAACCTGGAAGTTGAAGAGTAAGAAGCGTGGGGTTTTGCAAGAGAGTCTTGCCACGTTCGGTTTGTGCAATAAGCTCAGAGGGCGGAAACGCACCCTCTATTTTCCCTCACGACAAAACCTTTTCCACGTAACCTGAGCACTTTGTACTACGTTAAAATGCCAAATTCTCCCCTTTGGGGATTGTTACAGGACATGCCATTATCTTAACAAGGTTCAATTCTGCTTCCAGATTATTCAGGTTTGGTTTTGTTACAAGAGTGTTTCTCCTGCTTTTGATCACTTTCCTAGGGCCCTAAACAAGGTGAATTGGGCTGGTTTGAATTTTACAGTTTCAAGTCGCCACCCAGAATGGATAGAATTCAAACTTTAACTATTTTTCTTTTTCTTTTTCCTATTGTGAAGCATTTTAAAGGAGCAAAACAGGGGCTTTTAAGCCCTGTAGATGTTTCAAAGTCAACGGTGGGAATAAGATTAAAAGTTTATTCGTTAGATTGATGCTGTCTTTCCTCCAGGGGCTGGGGGATTCTGGGAGGTGAAATCCACAAGTCTTAAAAGTTGCCAAGATTGGAGACCCCCCCCCGATCTAGCTCTTTACTGCCAGGTGAACCTCTTAGCAACTAAAAGCAGGACTGGTGTCCAGAAGAGACTGTGCCAAACAATTTTAAAAGATGTTTTCCAAAGGCTGTTTTTTTTTTTAAAAAAAATGTGGCGTAAGAACTACAATTAATAACGAAACGACCAAGCAAAATCTGGCTCAAATGTTCTAACTTTTCCTGTTTGGGGAGGGAGTAGGGCAGGGGTAGTCAACCTTGGCTCTTTTATGACTCGTGGGCTTCAACTCCCAGAATTCCTGAGCCAGCTGTGCTGGCTCAGGAATTCTGGGAGTTGAAGCCCACGAATCATAAACGAGCCAAGGTTGCCTACCCCTGGAGTAGGGGAATCAGGAAGGAGGACCAGTTTGTTATTTTTTTTTAAAAAAAAATGCCAAATACATTGTTAATATCCCACTTTTGAGATGTTTCCCCTCTTAAGATGGTGGGTATCGGTGTTTCCAAGCTGTCGTGATCACCCAGAGAAGTCCAGAGGTGACGTGGGGAAAATGCAACACTTTTTCGATTGGTGGACGATCACGTCAGAAGCGAAGCAACGGGAAGACCCGATACCTACCCTTCGTTTTAGCATCTGGAAAGAACACTCCATCTCCGGTGTTATAGACAAAGGTGATCACTCCTTGATAAGTGTCTTTGGTCTTTGTAAAACGGATGGTCCAAGAATTCCCTTCCCCAAACTCAATGGAAAGGACTGGGCCAGAGGTTTCATTCCCGCAAGAGGTTCCGATGTACCTCACATCTTCTGGGAGCATAAAAGTAGATGTTTTCTGAAAAAGATTTCAAACCAGCAGGACATTTTTAAACCACCATATGCACAAAACCACTGACGAAAGCATCCACGGTCAACGCTGAGTTGGGTGGTGACATGATAGCTGTGTTGCGATATCTCAGGGGCTGCCACAAAGAAGAGGGGAGTCAACCTATTCTCCAAGGCACTTGAAGGCAAGACAAGAAGCAACAGGTGGAAACCAATCAAGGAGAGAAGCAATCTAGAACTAAGGAGGAATTTCCTGACAACGAGAACAATTAACCAGGGTTGCCTTCAGAGGTTGTGGGTGCTCCATCACGGAAGGTTTTCAAGAAAAGATTGGACAGCCATTTCTCCAGAATGGTATAGGGCAGGGGTCTTCAAACTTGGCCCTTTTATGACTTGTGGACTTCAACTCCCAGAATTCCTCAGCCAGCGTGCCTGGCTGAGGAATTCTGGGAGTTGAAGTCCACAAGTCATAAAAGGGCCAAGTTTAAAGACCCCTGGTATAGGATATCCTGCTTGAGCAGGGGGTTGGACTAGGAGACCCCCCCAAGGTCCCTTCCAACTCTGTTATTCTTTTAATATTACAAAAAAAAGGCATGCATTTTAAAGTAAAACCTTTTCTTAATCTGTGGGTTTTTAAGGACGTGTGAAAAGGCAGTTTTGCAAGCATGCAGGGAGCACTTTTCAGCAGCCCTTTAAAGCAGCTGTTGCTTTAAGTGTACGGCTTCCCTTTAAGTGTGCAGACCCAGAAGAACTGCTGCTTTAAAGAACTGCTGGCAGATGCTGCAGCGCATCTGCTCTCCCCCAGAGGCCTTTTGCAAAGGACGTTGCAGCCCTCTGAGTAGTTTAAATTTCAGACAGGATTGTTGAGATGCTTCTGTTTTCAGGATGCAGAGGTTCCCTCACGTCGGCCACCCCTGGCTTAAATACTGGAAAAGAAAAAAAATTCATCTATGCTTACAGATTCATCGGTTCCTTCGTAGGTTATTGAAAATTTCACCATCCATTTCGCAAACAGACAAGACATGTTGAAGTCATCTTTCACCTCCAAATCTACTGCGTAGGTCTGGAAAACAACTGGAATATTGTTTGCCCAGTCAGCCAGTGATACAATTAGTGACAAAAAAAAAACAACACGTCCCACCACCCTGCATTTAATTGATTTAATTGAGAATAATTAACCAGTGGAAGGGTTTGCCTTCAGAAATTCTGGGTGCTGTATCACTGGAGGCTTTTAAGAAGAGAATGGTGTAGGATTTCCTAATTGAGGAGGGGGTTGGACTAGAAAACCTCCAAGGTCCCTTCCAACTGTGTTCTGTTCTTCATTCAGATCATTTTTATACGTTACAATTATTCCATTTTTATTTATTCCCCTACAAATGTTGACATTCAACAAACAGCTCAGAATTTATGGAGGAAAAAAGTCTTGAGGCTTTTCTGCTTCTCAGATAATTGTGCAAAAAGCATAAGAAAATTTACAAGACAGACAATCTATTCCTTGGATATTTTTAATCTGAGATCAGAGTCGGTATTTTAAGTGGGAAAGAAAAACTGAATTTGTCTCAGTTTACATTTAAGTATAGATTTTATGCGAGTGAGGTATGAATTGCAAGAAAGAATAAAAGCTGAGTTTCATATAGTCATGATCATCTCTCTCCCTAAATTCATTTTTCTTTGTACTTAAATCACCATTATGTCTGAACATTGGAAAGAAGGTAGCCACTTGATAATGAAAAAACGTCAGGAAGAAAATTTCACATCCTTAATTATTTTTCAGTCATTCTGGTCTAAAACCGATTTTTATCTAGACTGATGAATAAAACACCCACACTTCATTAACTATGAAAACACACCCGCTGATGAATAAGCTATCATAGAAATATTTGTGTTCTCACATTTCTTGAAGGGTGGATGGAAAATTCAAGGGCACGTGCACACTTTAGAAGTCTCCCAAACCCATTTTATTTCAGCTACCCAATACTTAATAGACTGGTTGTCATTCCAGTATGGTAGTAGGTTTTTGATGTGTGTGTAATTGCAACACACAAGACGTGTCCCAGCCTGTTTTTCCCAGAGAAAACTCCTGACACATTGCTTAGCAAACAGGTTTAAATGCTGGTTTAACAGTAGTTAAACCTCTGCAACTGCGTGTCCTTCCCGCCTAATTGAGCTCATCTTTTAATGATGTGGTTCTTTTTCCCTTTCAAATTGGACAACACGATATAAGGCTTGCAAGTTACATTTCCCCATCTGACACACAAATACAGCAAGAGAATTTTTTTAATGCTTATTTAAGACAGAAATGACAGAGCTGTCTTTGTGAAACGCTAGAAATTGCAAGAAACAGCTGAAGATGCCAGAGTCCGAACAGGAACACAACTAGACCAGAACAGGAACTCAGGCAGAGACCAAATTTTTGCCTTCTCTTTCCAATTCTACAACAAAACGCAACAAAAAATGTAACCGGTATTACACTCCTGTCCTTAAAATGTAAAGCAGGACCGAGTTATTGTATATGTAAAGATCAGACATTCATTTTTTTCTTCTTCTGTTCATCTCTGATTCTTGGAGATAGAATAGAATAGAGCTGGAAGGGACCTTGGAGGTCTTCTAGTCCAGCCTCAGAGATTGGCAGGACAAGTCCCTACAGTTTTCTTGGCAAGGTTTTTCAGAAGTGGTTTGCCATTGCCTCCTTCCTAGGGCTGAGAGAAAGTGACTGGCTCAAGACTGTCCAGCTGGTTTGTGCCTAAAGTGGATTAGAAATTATGATATCTCCATTTCTAGCCTGGTTGCTTTCATTGTTACGCCAAGTGCCTTTCAGACCCTCTACGCAATGCATTTATTATGTCACCACGATTGTCATACGCAGGGCTTTTTTTGTCATAGAACGCCCAGAACGGAGTTCCGGCACCTTTTTTGTTTACAAAAAAAGCACTGGTCATACGTGAACCCACAAGGCTTTCAGCCTTCATTAATCTGGTCTCCTCCAAATCTTTGGGAGGTTAAGTCCCAGAAACAAATCTGGCTAATATTGGCTGAAGAGTTGTGGTTCCAATACACTTAAAACTTTGAAAGGTTTGGATGAGTTTTAGGAACCTCAATGTTTTAAAAGCTTTCATCAGATCCCCTTGGAGGATAGGGAATTCTCTCTGGATTTCTAGTGGATAACTGGATCATAAATGGCAGCAGGATCCAGAGTCAAGCTAGAAATCAAAGGCTGAGTTTATACAATATGGAGAGATTGTAAATTACTGAAGGATTTTAGTTGGTGATGTCATAAACAAGAGCCCTGTTTACACAACAAGTTAAGACACAGAAGTTGATCTCTGCTAGATTCAGCAGATGAACCTCTTTATCCACATCCACAAAGTCGTGCTTTGGCCTTTTTCTTCTCCAGCATCTGAGAAGTTCTTCCAATCTAGATACATCTCTTCCTTTTTCAACAAGGCTCATGCAGCCTTCTCCCTAGTTGTGCTTTGAGGACCATCAAGTTTGACTTGCTCGAACCTATGGGGCAGTATTCCTTTGCTCTTGGCAAGGTAAACCGAGTCAGAATGTGGATCTGAATTTGGGTGGGGGACGACCAGAAGTCTCAGCTCGACTGAGCAATTGAAAAATATCATCCAGAAGAAGACAATAGCAAGTCAGCAGAAATCAAACCTTATCTTTATTCCCTGGGCTCCTGTTCTTACTTTTCAGCATAGGTGGAGAGTGTCGGATTGAGTAAGGCTGCCTTAGTAAGTATAATTTCACCGACCTTGTAATAATTCAAGTGAGTAATAGCACCTGACGTCTCTTGGCTAATCTCCAAAAACTAGCCAAGTGTGGACCAGGCTAGCGTTTAGCAAGGAGACAAGAAATTCCAGGGCTGCAACGTAGCTTGGAAGTGGAACTAAGCATCCAGCAGAAGAAAACTGTAGCTCTGTATATCTTGTGGCCAAGAATATTGTAAGTTCCTAATTTTCTTAATCTTCTTCCAACTTTCCTCTACATCCATGGTTAACTCCTCCATTATGAGCAGCTCAATGCAGCTGCTTGCCTCCCACTTCAGAGGCAACTTCATCCAATCTTTTTGCAACCTTTTGGAGGCACCTTAGAAGCTTTTCATGAATGTACCCCGAAGCCTCTCTCCTCTTCACCTCCAAACCGTCAATTCATTCGGAAGATGCAATCCAAATACCATTACCTCTGGGGTGTGTAAATTGCATTTTCACCGCTATTAAGAGGCCCCCCTTTCTCTGTTGCCCTCTGCCTTTTCCACCCCAAATTTGGGGAAGGGGCACCCACAAATCCTCTACAGCCCTTTTCCAGGCTACCTTTGGAAGGCTCCCCGATACCCCCACTTTTAGGGTGTGCCAACTCCTTTCGCCACCCCCACTTTTAGGAGGAGAGCCCTCCTCCATCCCCTTCTTCTGCCACCCTCAAATTTGAAGGGGCATCTCTGAGTCCTCCACCGCCCACTCCACGCGTTAGCCCTCACATTTGGGGTGCCTTCCAACATCCCTTTTAGAGCATCACTCAAGTACCCCCACTTTTAAAGTGTGCCTGCTCCTGTTTGCAGCTTCACCTCCGGCGCTTTTAAGAGACCCCCCCTCCTCTTTGGCTCTTTCCTTCCACCCCCTCAAATTTGGGGCTGGGGCATGCCTGAATTCTCCATTGCCACTCCCTTCCAGGCAACCCCTCTCCACATTTGGGGTGTCTTCCAACATCCCTTTAAAGAGCATCACTCAAGTACCCCCACTTTATGGTGTGCTTAGTCCCGTTTGCACCTCCAGCTGCCCACTTTTAAGAGACCCCCTCCTCTTTTGCTCTTTCCTTCCACCCTCAAATTTTTTTGGGGGGGGCATCATCCCCCCCTTCCAGGCAACCCTTTCTCCACATTTGAGGTGTTCCCCCCCCCAAGCAGGACCCCTACTTCTGGGGTGCTTCCCCCAGAATTGAAGCCCCCCTCCCCTAATGCTCTCCACCTTTGGGGGGGGAATCACCCCCTCGTCGCATTCCCAGGGCAGCCCCCACCCCAAGACTTCGGGGCGCCCCCCCTTCCCCGGCTCTCACCCAGGCCGTCGAGCAGCAGGGGCAGGAGGAGAAGGCAGCCGTAGAAGAACGGCGGTCGGAAGCGAAGCCGAGGCGGGTCCATGCCGAGCGGCGAGAGAACCAGCACCAGCCACGAGCGGATCCAGACGACTAGACGAGACACGCAACTCGCCCGGGCGCCGAAACCGAGCATATGGGAGCCGGGGGGCGGCGCCCGCGGGATAGGGAGGAGCCTCCTGGCGGCGCCGACCAATCGCAGCGCGACCCCCCGGCTTGGATGGACCTTGCGTTTCACGGCCGGGCTTTCTGCCGTAACAGACGCGGGAGGGGCGGTTGGGTTTGCATCACAAAGCGCCGGGAGGGAAGGGTGCGAGCTGTCTCTTTTTTTTTCTCTCTCTTTCTTTTCTTTTTTTTTAACCCCTCCTAAATTGCTCCGGTTGCAAACCTGAAGTATTCCCTTCCTGCTGACTTGCTTCAAATCAGTCAGGATTGGAAATCTTTTATTCCCCTCCGCTGGGTTAGCCCTAAATCCTGGTTTGCTCCGTCCGCGGCTTTGCAAACCGGGTTTTTTTTTGGGGGGGGGGCTGCGGGAATCAGCCTAAGCCGTAGTAGTGGGTTTAGTCCGTCCTAGGCACAGGCAACGTCTGGTATAGTTGGGGAGAGGGAAAAAAAAAAAGTGATGGGTGGTTTCTGGAAGAAGAAGGGGACGGCGGCGACGGCACACCCAACAATTAAAACCTGCTGGGGGAAAGTGCTGAGTTTAAAGCTTCGCTGCGGAGCCACGTGAAAGCCTCGAATAATTGCAAATAAAGGAGTTGGAGGTGTCACGTTGAGATAATGGGCACTTTTTGTGTTGTAACACGCCCGCCCAGTGGCTTTTTCAAAAGTCACCCGGCCGGCTTTCATGCTTTAAGGCAGGACTAGAACTCCCAGCCTCCTGGTGATTGCCTTGAAGTCACCCAGCTGGCTTTCATGGCTGTGGTAGGACTAGAACTCACAGTCTTCTGATAATTGGTCCAAATCATCCAGCTGGCTTTCATGCTTAAGGCAGGACTAGAACTCCCAATAACCTGGTAATTGGCCTGAAGTCACCCAGCTGGCTTTCATGGCTGTGGTAGGACTAGAACTCACAGTCTTCTGGTAATTGGTCCAAATCACCCAGCTGGCTTTCATGGCTGTGGTAGGACTAGAACTCACAGTCTTCTGATAATTGGCCCAAATCATCCAGTTGGCTTTCATGCTTAAGGCAGGACTTT